CCTGATTTTCCTTCTTTTGAACTTAGATACCAGTTGTGGAATTTACCTAGAAGTGTTTAAACCTCAAAAAAAATAATTTTTAGGGTGTAAAAGAGGGTTTATGGCCCAAGCATATGCTTAGGCTGTAAACACCCTTTAATCATGCAAAACAAGTCTAAAAACTCATCCAAACCACCCTTAGACTTAAGATATGAATTTGGGACTTGCCAATTTGGACTTGGATCACTCAAACACATACATTTGAAGGGTAAAATAGAGTTCACGGCCCAAGCATGTGCTTAGGCCGTAAACTCCCCTAAATCATGAAAAATGTGAGTTTAAACCCCTAAAAGGCCTTATAACCTCTACTAGAATTTGGTAGAAATTAAACCAAAGTCCTAGAAATCAAGGAATGGGGTGTACAAGAGTTTACTACCATAAACCCTAAGGCTTACGGCCGTAAACTCGCAAGGAGTGGCCTATAGCCTTGTATAATTCCTTAGAAACACTTCTTAATCAACATGAGACTTGAAAGCAATCAAAAACACTCCTCCCGTGAGTTTACAATCATAAACTCATGGGGGATGTGGCCTGTCAACCGTAAATTTACTTAGGGTGGGTTTTAGGAGAGTAAACTCCAATGTGAGGTCATACACTCCTTCCAAACAACTCATTAACCCTCTAGCACTCAACCATAAGACTTGTAATCACACTAGGATGTCTATATGTTTTAAGATGAGTTTAAATCACTAATTACTTGTAAACATATGTATTCATAATTTGTTTGGGTCATAAAGGGTGTACAAGTCCTTACATGACACCAAACGCTCATCCGACACTCACACCCAATCTTCTCATTTCAGGTGAGTTCATACCCCTTAATGAACCTTTTAAATGTTTTTACATGTTTTAGGGGGGCGATACAAGTACATTATTACATGTTTTATTATCAAATTATATGTGATTTACAATCTATCATCAAAAAGGGATTACTCTACAATTTTAGAAACTTATCAATAAAACTGTTTTAACTAGTTATCAAATGTGTTTTTAAGGTTAAATTATTTTTAAACTATTTCAAAACTATGTTTCAACTACTTTTCAATTAATAAAAATATATCTACATTAATATATTTATATAAATAAGACTTGATGGACTTAGGACCGATAGTTGGCCTTATTTCATGTTCTTGTTTGACGTGGTTTTAGGGTATTGGTTGTCTGCCCGACGGTCGTTAAATTCTTAATTATATATCATATATATTTGTGATAGATATGAATGTCCTTATCTTATTCATTACTACTGTTGATCGAAAGCATAAATTCACATACTCTAGTTAGCTATAATAGGTATAGTTAAGGCTACTACTAATTACCTCTACTACTACTATACACGCCATAAACTGTTAATATTACAGGATATTGCAAGTATGAAAGAACACTCTACTTACTATACTAAAAGTTTACCATACTAAAGCATAAGGGAATTCACTAATGCAAAGTATATCACACTATCTCTCTATAAGGTACTCTAGTGTACTTACACATGTGACCAGGGCTTCCCGAAAGAGAAGCAACACTATATGTATAGATCTATACGGAACAGACACTATTACGTCCCGACTGTTAACTACAGTCCGAGCCGACTAGGCCATGGGTGGCACTACATTACTTCACTACGCATGACTGGGAAGGTCATCGGTACTCTACAACTTCACAATTGGTCACATGAGAAGTTAAACTTACATTTAAAGAAATACACTAAGAATTAAAGTCTGAACTAAAATCCTGAAGTAATTAATGATCTATTACTAACTAAAGTTGCAACACTACTACCGTTAGCAAGCATAACCTTTCTTCAGCCGTATTACTTACATGAGATTTATTTCTACACTTTTACAATTGAAGGTTTCAACAACATTACTTTTACACACTAGAAAGATTGACTTACAAATGTACTATCTGGAAAATATAGGATTTTCCAGGGATTTCTACTACTCGTAAATACAAATTTCAGTTTTATACTATAAATTTGCAAATACTTTTATACTACGATGACACTAAACTCTTATGAACTCACCAGCTTTATGATGATATTCGTTTTCAAAATAACTTGTATCCTCAGGTCAAATATAGACAGGTACAGGGCAGCTTTTGGAAGAAGATGGAACATATACAAGACTCATCTTTTATTTTGTTATACTTTTGGTATTTATTAAACTTTACAGAACACAATTGTAACTATTATCACTATATATATGAAATGGTTGTTGTTTCTTGATTTTACTGTTATGCAATTGTAATGATATTGTACATGACATCCTCCACCCTAGAACGTATTCCGCCATTCTCAGTTTCGGGGTGTGACAGACTACAATGGTCAAACAAATGATTTTTGTTACACTTACTCACCTTATGTTTATGTTGATATGTAACGAAATTCATTAAACCACCTCAAAAGCCTTTTAAAAGAAGCCCTTCGATACTTCTTCACAAGTATTTGATTGTAATTCACGGGAACATACACAAGTTGTTGATTATCTCTCTTGATAATTAACGAAGCAATCTTTTCTCGGTGTTTTAACTGCCTTCGTGTCAAATTGAATTTATGACATCAGTGAATATCCATTTTTTTTGCTTCTCATTTATATTCTTTGAAACATGACACACACAAAATCCTTGAGGTTCTGAGTAACACCAACTCAGGCTGATGATTTCAAGAATCTGGCAAATGACTTTACTTTGAAACCCTAAAAAAAAAAGCCTTACCTCCATTCGAAGGGTTCCAACGGTTACTATTCCGTTAGGGCAAACAATCCAGCCTGTTTGAGGGGACTGTTTGTATTCTGTATGGGTTTTGAGGAGATGTGACAGTTACTTTATATCGCATGGTTACTTTTTCATCATCATGACGCGGTTTTCTCGGTGACACGTCACATATCATTAAATGCTTATCGCGCTTTGATTTCAAAATCAATAGTTACATATAAAAGGGGATTCAAGGGTTCATTATCAATTTGTGCTTTCATATTCCCAAATACTCTTTGATAAATTCCCGCTTTCAAACCGTAACAATGGCGACTGCTAATCTTGATGTAACTCTTTCTCACACCACAGATGATGTTACCTCGTTGCCAATAATGAAGATTCTGGGTACAAATTACCAAGTTGAAGCAAATGGATATCTATATCCAGAAGAACTTAAGATGCTCTTCGTTGCTCTGAAAAGCTCTGTATTTTCTAAAGCCATTTTCAAATCATTCTCTGTTCCTCATACATGGCTGTCTCAAGCTGGATCAACAGCTACTTATTCGAAAGCTTTGGATGCAGTTCTGTTAAATCTAGTGACTGATAAAAAGGTTAGACTCTCAAAGAAGCTTTTCTATCAGATTCTCAATATCCTTAATTCTCCGCCATATGTCATTTTTACCTTCCCACAAATTGTTCATATGTTAAATGAAATGGGTCATTAACCCTAATTGTCCAAGATATGTGATTTCAAGAAGTCGGGTCTTCCAAGTGTTTGGAATTTTTTGTTTGGTATTTTTCTAAGATGTTTAACTGGAAGAACTGTTGGGTTAGAAAGGTGGAGAATGGAGGTTTATGCTATGGTTGCAGGCTTATATTATGATCTTCAAGTTGATTACTCTAACCAGTTATGGAAACAGTTCTTCAAGAGTATTGAAAACACGAATGCTCTTCATGGCATTTCGTGTGCCTGATACTGGAGCTTGATTCTACAATATTTCTATGAGAACGAGGGGATTCTGGTTCCTACAGATGAAGAAAAATTTGTGTTCCATGTGTATAGTTGTCCGAAGGATGCAACTGATGATACTGAAGAGTTTCTAGTTGTTGCTCGTGTTACTGATGCCATGCTTAAACGAGTTGATCCTACAAACACAGTTCTAGTCAATTACTTACAAACCATCAATACCTCTGTTGAAACTGGATCTCTTTTGGTAAGAGAAGAAGAGACGAAGCCCTAGCGTTTGAAGAAGACTGCTACTGGATCTTCTGAGAAGCAAGTCAAAGAATCTAAATCTAGAAGGAGTCCAAAGAAGTTACCGATTACAGAAGCAGAGCCAATCAAACCCGAAGTTTCTGTTGCTGATACACCATCAACTCAAAAGGAAACCATTCCTTCGAAGACTAGTGTCTTTCACAAAATCAAAATGAAATCCAAACATAAGAGTCGATCTCCACTAACAAATGTTGTCTGAAAACCATAGATTTCGTATCAAGGTCTTCTCTTTCATGAGATTCCTACACCTGCTTCACCATCTTCTAAGAAATGAAGGGCAACTGATATGACCATACACATCTTAAAGAAGAAGAAGAAAAGTAAGATGATCATCTCCTCTGATTCTACTGGTGATGAAAATGAAACAATTCCAGAAACTCTAGAAGCTGATCTTCAGAAAGAATCTTCTCATCCTACACCAATTGATGTTATACCACCTGAAGATTCGGTTGCCAAGTCAGTTTCTAAGGAGGAACGAACTTCTAAAATTTTTGTAAACAGATCTCACATGGATGAAAATGTCACAATGGGTGAGGATGCTTCACATATAGGAGACCAAGGTAAAACATCGAATGTTACCTCATACATTATTATTTCTTTACCTCAACAACTCACACCTATCATTCCTACTGCATCCACCACCGATTCTCCTACCTTCAAAAACATTATCAAAGAACCAATTACATCTCTTTTTTCTTCACAATCTACTGATCCACCTACCACAACTTCACCAATTGAAGATTCTTCTTGTATGGAAACTGAGCATGAGTCAGAAGGTTTTAAAGGGACGTTTGAAAATTTGGAGTTTGATGAAGAAGAAACTGACTTCGCAGATCACATGCTAATGACCATGAAGTAGTTCAAGATATTGAATACAAAGCTCAATTTAATTCTTCAATCTTAGGCTGATCTTAGGGGAGGAAATTCAGTGACCAGTCTAGAAGTTGATGGTCTGTTAAAATTACTTGAAGGGAGGATTACTTCAAAAGTCTTGAGAATGATAAAATATTCCGAGTCTCGTCTCTTGGAGAAAATTGATATTTGTGATCATAGCAATGAGATGAGGGTAAATTCTCAGAAATCTACTTTTGAAGGTGACTTGAAAGAATTAAAACTGGTGGCAAAGGAATATCATGTCTTATTTGTTCAAGATGTGAAGAAGGTGAGAAAAGATGTGAATTTTAAGCCTCAAGAGCTTCGACAAGACGTGGAGAAAGAGATTGCAGTTGTTCACACTAAATTTGCATCTCTTCAACAGAAGGTGGATATAATCTGTGATGCATTTATCAAATTTTCCAAGTTGTATGAAAGTCTGAGTGCTCAAATTGCTCAACTTTCTACAACAGAGAACAAGAATTTTTATGAAGTTTTTACACTGTTAGCTTTGTCTTCTCCTCTATCTTCCGAAGATTTTATCTAGAAATTTTCTAAATTAGAAGCCTTTCTTCTTCAACAATTGGCTCCTCTTTCACGTATATCTAACCTTCTTCCCACAAAGAATGCCCCACCTCCTAGTATAGGGGTGCAAGGGGGAGAAAGGAAAAGCGAAGGTTTGAAGGCTGGAGTTGAAGATGCGAAAGTGGTGGGAAAGGTGTTTCCTTCAAAGTTCCCAAAAACAAAGCCAGTGATAGCTACTGCTGGTCCTATCTCTTCAACAGTAGTAACAACTATACCAATCACAAGACCAATTTCGAAAGGAATTGTGATTGGTAAATCTACTGACATTGGTGGGAGTGATTCGAAGGCAAAAGAAGTGGTTGAAGAATCAGCTTCGAAGGAAAGGGGAAAATCAATTCTTATAGAAAAATCTAAAGAAGAAAAGAAGGCAGAGGTTGAGGCGGAACTGGAAAAGATGAGACTGATTCAAAGCATAATGACTCAAAGGGCTAGTGATCCTCCTGGAATGAACAAGGGTGCTCCATCAAAGCACTACATTTATGAAACAATTGAATCAAAGGTTGCATTTAATCACATGTATTCGTTTGAAAAGAAGCCAAAATAGAGTTACATTTTCATGAATACGGATGCAAACCAGTTGGACTTTCTAAATAACGAAATAATGTTCATCATGCCTCAGTTTAAAGCAGAAAGCAAGTTCAAGGAGAAGGATGAAGGAACTCAAATGAAAATCAGGTTTCATGCGGTTCTTGCAAAGCCTGCCGAAGAATATGGTTAGTGACAAAGATAAAGAAGGTCATAAGCATAAAGAAGGATGTGTTTTTCAAAAACACAGTCCAAAACATGAAGTATGTGGTGACCAGGGTAAATGGGAATGTGTGTGAGTTTACAATTGCTGACTTTCCATTAATGAACTTGTATGATCTTATACAAGTTGCATTACTTTTGAAAGAAAGGTCTTTTTCATATCTTCAAAACAAAGATCCTGATGAGTACAAGCTGGGAGTTACTCACATCAAGATTTTTATTGAAAATTATTAAAAATGCTTAGCATTAATGGATGTGGAGTTGGCTACAGCTAAAGGACTGGAAATTACAGCACCCATGGCTCCTTCGAAGACACAAGCAGATTTAAACAATATGCTGATGGTGAAATCTGCTTGAAGCCTTTTGGTTTAGTCTTCTCTGGGAAGGACAAGTCTGGGAAATGAAAACGGTTTTTATTCCAGGCAAGTGAGGTCGAAAGGTATTCAACTTCGTAATATACGAGCTTGATTGTTCGTATGAATCATTGCAAGAAGAATAATGAAGGGGATAAAAAGGAACTGAAGATAATTATCTCATGGTACACTGAGATACGAAGAGTAATGTTGTACTCCATTCAACTGCTTACGAACTGAAGTCTTCATCTCTGTTTACAAAGGGGGAGAATGTAAGGGTATTTTGGTTGTAATGAGTTGAAGCCTATTATGTACTCTTCGTATGGTCTGTAATATATTTTACTAGGACTCTTTTGATTCGAAGCTTAAGTGTTTTAGCCTTAGTATATTTTTTGTACGCTTGATGTATCCTATAAACAGGATCATTTACTAGAGTTAGATAACTTGAACAAGATTGTCTATTCTCTCTGTAAGAACTCTTAAAGCGTAATTAAGCTGAAGTGAAGATCTTATTTACATCGTGTGTTCAATTACTAATTGATTCCTAAACATTTATTCTGATTCATTTCATACTCGATTCTTTGTTCCATCATTATTCAATCTCGATTTCATTGCAACTACATTTGGTATCAGAGGAGGATTCATACAAAATTGACACGTTTTTTAGAATTTATCAAAAGTTTTGAGTCTCGTTCTAGATTTCAATTTTCTACTATTTTGTGTCAGAAATTCATCCTAGATATACTGTTGTGAGTTAATTCTGCATTCTAGTTGCTAAATTGAGTGTTCGATTGGTGATTATCAACAATTTTATATGTTTGATCAAATTCAAATTTAAGATTTACTCAATTTTTGTCTATTCATCAATAGTGAACTTCAACATGAACAAAATGACGTCTTATTCTCATCTCCTTGGTTCATCGACTAAAATCCCGATCCTCATACCCAAGTATTATGATCAGTGGGCCGATCGGATGGAAGATTAGTTGAACGGAATTGATGAAGAGTTGTGGAAGTGTATTATCGGAGACTTTTTTCCACCCGCCTACTATTCAGAGTATTGGAACTTCTTCCAATAATCAAAATGTTCAAGAGATCGCTGAAAATTTAGAAAAGAATGAAAAGAAATGCATGAGAGAAGTCAGAGGTGTTCTACCTCCTGTTGTTTACAATTACATTCGTAGTTGTAAAACTGATAAAGACATCTAGAATGCTCTGAAGGAAAAGTTTCATGGGAATGAAAAGACAAAAATCAATTCAGTGAAAAATTGTTTGGTTGAATTAAGAGAATTCAAACAAAGAGATGGTGAATCTATCAAATTATACTATGATCATCTGGATGAAATGGTTTACAAGTACAATCGATATGGAATCACTAGGTCAACCATGAAGTTTAATCTCATGTTTGATATGGGGCTACAAAAGGAATGGCGAAACGTGAGTTTGATGATGAAAACTCAACAATGTTTTGACAATTTTTCATTGAATAACTTGTACAATCTATTGAAAACTCATGAATCTGAAGTCAATAAAATTGCTAAAGAAGCGAAGATTAGCCTAGGAGGTCCGTTAGCTTTGGTTTCGAAAGTAACTGGAAGGGAAGCAGAGAGAGAAGCTAATGGGAAGGTTGGTTCGGATCATGAGGGTCTGATAGTAATTTTCGATGATGAGGTTGTTGAATTTTACTCAAACAATCGAGTAAAGAATTTTTTTGAAGAAGCTATTCAATGCAAGGTCGAAAAATAGTGAAGTGAAAGGAAGTGTTGTTGGGAAAACTGGAGGCGATGAGAAGAAGGAAGTTCGTGAAAAGCGGAAAAGAAAGAGTAAAATCTTAAAGGTGATGCTGGATTCGACTGCCATTATTGCAATGCTGCGAATCACATGGCATCTAATTACATGCTTCGAAAACGTGATGTGAAGAAGAAAAAAGTGAAAAATGAAGCTTATTATCTGGAAAGGTTTGAGGAAGTTTGTGTAAATGCAAAAGGTTTGTCTTTGGTGGCCAAGGGAGTAGATGAAGAAGATGGTACTTATCAGATTTGGTTGTTAGGCTCAGACGATGAAGAGATGTGAAACCCTACACACGGGGAGATATTTGTTGTGCATGAGGAAGGAGAGGATGAAAAGATAACAGGGAAGTGTTTTGTGACAACGTCTTCACATAAATCTCCGATGACTTCTCAAGTACGTTCTCTTTTAAAATCTGTTAACATTCCATCAAGTGAATATGATTCGATTTTATCTGAGTTTTCTGCAACAATTACTTACGTTAATGATTTACTTATTTCTGCTAGTAATGAGGCTAAGAAGTCAAATACTCAACTATTAGAAATCCATAAGGTGTTAGATTCGAAGAAAATAAAAATCGAATATGTAACACCCAGTTCATGGCATGCAATTTAATTATAAAGTTTTGCACTCTTGTTCTAGGACTCAGCGAGTTGGAGGCCCCAACTCGTCGAGTAGAGGTTAATATTGGATGCGGGAAGGAGAACCTACTCGCCGAGTCGGATGCCTTGACTCAATGAGTAGGCTTGTTTGGATGAAACCCTAATTTTAATGGTTTGCACCGTATTTAAACACCTTATCTTGTCCCAACCCAACCTCCATCATCTCTCTCAGTCTAGAAAATCCCTAACTGGAAACCCTAAAGCATTTGGAGTGTTGTTGAACCATTTTTTGTATTTCAGGTTGTTTCAAGCTTGAAGAAGGATGTAGAAACTTGGGGGTTCTAAAAGAAGCGATTATATCCAGAGGTTTTGCTTCATTTCCATCCTATTCAAGGTAAAAAGCTTCAACCTTGACCATCTATCTCTTATATCTCTAGTTAGGGTTCACCTCTACATCATCTATGTTTTTATAGAGTCATATTCGAGATTTTGTGGTTCTAGGAGGGTATGACTTTAGATATGGAACCATTGAGGGTTCTCATGGCATAAGGTGCCAACTTTATGGCCATAAACACCGCATGCATATTGTAGACTCCATTTTAAGGCAATTTGAGCCAAATACCCTATGCATGGACATCAAGTTTGGAACTTTACATGTATTTTGGACCCTAGGAGGTCAGATATCTGTTTTGAATGCATCAAGACCCACTGAAATCGAGTGTATAGTTTTGGTCATAAAGGGACTTGGCGAGTCAGGTCGTATTTCCCACCAAATCCCTTCTGATAATGGACCATGTGTTGAGTTAGAAGAACACTCAATTAGTTGGACTCATTGAGGACCTGGAAATCATGGGAATCAGTGAGTGTATGAGCTAACTCTACGAGTTCAAGGCTATGTTCCCAAGAATATGAAGATGGACTTGGCGAGTTAAGGAAAGAATCGGCGAGTCCAGTACTAAAAGCACCACCTTGCATGAAGATGAACTCGATGAGCTCATGAGGAACTCAACAAGTCAAGGACAAAATGTCCTAGCTAGCATGAAGATGGGCTCGATGATTCAAAGGATGAACTCACCGAGTCACATGTAAAGGTTCCCGACTTTGTATCATGGAACTCGATGATTTGGTGGATGTTAGGTCATATTTTGTTGGTTTGGGGTAGGCATCTATCTGTATAGGTCTTAATAGGGTGTTGGTCATGCTATGTGTGTTGGCGGTTGTGTGTACGACTGAGTAGGGTTCATGACCGTGAACGTGTGTACGGCCATGAACGGTTGTTCGGAAGTGAACATGTTTACGGCTAGGTGGTCCCTATAAATAGTGTCAAAATGTGTCAGAGTAACAATTAGTCAAAATCATATGTGTGTGTGCTCCAAGTGTACCAGACGTTTACTGTTTGAATATAACGTGTGCATTGTTGGAACTTCTTTTCTTCTACTCCTTTTTATTCTTATTGTTTTGCATCTTGATTG